TATTTAAGGCATCTGATGGAGACGGTCGGTAAAAGTTGTTTTTTTTAAAATAAGGCATCTAAAATAAACAGTTGGTAAAAATAATGTTTTCATTCTAAAATAAGGCATCTAGTGGAGACGGTTGGTGAACTTTAAAAAAAAAAAATTAAGGCATCGGGTGGAGGCGGTTTGTAAAAATAATTTTACTATTTCAAAGTAAGGAATCTGGAGGAGACGGTAGGTGAAAATTATTTGTTTTTTACGGCATCGAGTGGAGACGGTTGGTAAATTTTTAAAAAAATAAATAAATAAAGCATCTAGTGAAGACGGTTGGTAAAAATAATTTGTTTTTTAAAAAATAAGGTATCTAGATCTAGAGGAGACTGTTGGAAAAAATAATAATTTTTTTTTAAAAAGGTATGGAGATGGTAGGTAAAAACAATTTTTAAAAAATCAGGCCTCTAGTGGAGAATGTTGGTAAAAATAATTTGTATCATCTACTGAAGACAGTTTAAAAATTCTTTATTAAAAAAAAAAAAGGCATCTAGGGAAGACGTTTGATTAAAATAATTTGTTTTTGTTTAAATCAGGCATCTAGCGGAGATGGTTGGTAAAAAATTTTTTTTTAAAATAAGGCATCTAGGGGAGACGGGAATTGAAAATTTATTATTATTTTTTTTATATGCTTCTTGGTAAAAAACGGTTTTTAAGAAATATGGCATCTATTGGAAAAGGTAGGTAAAAATAATTTTAAAAAAAAATAAGACATCTAGCGGAGACAGTGGGTAGAAATAAGTTTTCAAAAAAAATAATAAGGCATCTAGTAGAAACAGTAGGTAAAAATAATAAATTAGAAAAAATAGTTAGGAATCTTGTGGAGACCCTTGGTAAAAATAATTGTTTTTTTTAAATAAGGCATATAGAGGAGACTGTTGGTAAAATATTTTAATAAAAAAAAAAAAAAGGCATCTAGATGAGGTGGCTGGTAAAAAATGTAAAAAAAAAAAAATTCATCTAGTGGAGACGGTTAGTAAAAATAATTTCTTTAAAAAAAATAAGGCTTCTAGAAAAAACGGTTCATGCAAATAATTAAAATTTGTTTTTAAAAAAATGGGGCATCTAGTGGAGACTGTTGGCAAAATTTTTTTTTTTTTTAAAAAGACGCCTAGTGAAGACGGTTGGTAAAAAATACATGTTTTTGTTGAAAAATAAGGCATCTAGAGGATACGGTAGGTAAAAATAATTTTTTCCTGTTAAAAAAGGCATCTAAAGGAGACAGTAAAAATAATAATAAAAAAAAAATAAATAAAGGTTTCCAGTGGAGACTGTTGATAAAAAATAATATATATTTAAAAAAAATAATGCTTCTACAGGAGACGGTAAAAATAATCATTTTTTTTCTAAATAAGGCATCTTTTTGTTTTAGTAGAGGTATTACGGCGCTCGCAACTGCATAAGGTCATATGAGCGTCTAGGTGTGGATGTCAACAGAGAAGTCCTTACAGGGAATCAGACTCACTCAGTTCACCTCTCTAGCTTCAACAGCTCAAAGTCCTCTTCAACTATGAAGGCACCCCGGAAATAGCGGGTCACAAGAGTGTAACAAATATACAAAAGAAGTAGAGGATAAACGACGATAGTAAGGATTTGGAAAGAAAAAGCTGCAGTTCCCTGTTGCAGTTCAGGTACAGTTATGAGCAGTCCAAATGCGGAATCAGACTTACTCTGCTCACCTCTTTAGCCTCAACAGCACTACAGTCTGCTTCGACTATCAAGACACCCCGGAAATAGCCGGTCACAAGAGAGTGACAAACATACAAAAGAAGTAGAGGAAAAATGACAATAGTAAGGATGAGGAAAGAAAAGGCAGCAGTTCCCTCTACATGTTGTTCCGGCAGAGTATGAGCATGACATTGATAAATCAGCCCATTTACAATTCTACTGTGCATAAAAACACATTAACATCCCCCCTTTGGGAATGGCCTAAAGACACTTTAGTCAGTAGCCACTGTAAAATAGAAATCCAGTTTTGAGCTACAATTACCTTAAACAACAATAAAACAAATAGGCAGCCAAACAAGAACAACAAGAATTATACATTTATTTAAACTTTATTTTTAACACATTGGAAATCTTTGTATAAAAACCAATTCAACGGTAAAAATATGGACGGCTTAAAAGATCGTTTTCTGTTCATGTACATATAATTCAATAAATCCATTCAAAACAATTAATAATAAAACTGATAACTCAATGGTAAAACAAAGGATGGTCCTTGGTCTTTTTAAGCCACACATCATTCAATCATTGGTGGAAAAAAGTAAAAGATTAATAATAATAATAATATAAATAATAAAAACAATAATATTGTTATCAAATGTCTGCTCCTAGCTCAGGATTTCTGTTATGTTGTAAGTTGTGTACAGTCTACTTTGTGTTTGTGAGTGTGTGTGTCGAGAGAGAGAGAGAGAGAGAGAGAGAGAGAGAGAGAGAGAGTGTGTGTGTGTGTGTGTATGTGTGTGTGTATGTGTGTGTGTGTATGTGTGAGAGAGAGTGATACAGAGAGAGAAGGAGAGACACAGTGACAGACATACAAACAGAGAGACAGATCGACAAAGAGAGAAAGAGTGTGTGCCATTGCAGAATACCTTATCGCTACAGCAAAGACACCTTATATCTCGTAAATTTTAATGCTCAACACCCTCATCTACTTGGCATTGATAATTTATGAGGCAGGCTGTGCTGTTCCTGCCTATCAATCATGGCCAACGAGGACACAGAGGAATACAGTATCCCAGCAGACAGAACAAGATACAAGATTTTT